GAGGCAAAAACACCCGGCGGGCCGCATAAATGTCCTCTGCGGGCCGCATGTGGCCTGCGGGGCCATAGTTTGAGGACGCCTGCTTTACGGCCTGGGAAACCCCACAGCAGAGCCACGTCTCCTGACCAACCTTCCCCCTGCTTTCCTTTCTCTAAGGGGAGGGAGGAAAGGAGCGGAGGGATGCTACAGCACATGAGCCAACACTTCAGGTGCCACTTTGAGCAAGGAATTGGCCTGGTTTGTGGTCAATGGGATGGCAGCTGTGCTGGTGGGGGTCTGGGAGGCTTCTGGAGTGTCCTCAAGGCCCTGTGCCGCCATCCAGCCCTGATTGCACTGTTCCTCCTCTGTCCCCAGTACCTGTTCGTGCTCTTCCCGAGGATCATCTTCCTGCTGGGCTTCGTGCTGGTGATCAGCGTGTTCCTGGGGGGCTACCTGTGCTTCGCTCTATACCTGGCCGCCACCAACCAGACCACCAACGAGTGGTACAAAGCCCGCCAGGTCCCGTGCCAGTGCTGCCACCCCCAGGTGAAACCCCAAGCCTTCCAGAACATCCACAACCGTGGGGTCTGGCGCAACCTGCACGAGGTCTTCCTCCCTGCTGCCCACGATGAGAAGAAGAAATAAGAATGGAAGAGTGTCCCTGCCCTTGAAAGATTGGAGACCTTTCTGTATACAAACGGATGCTTATTTTCAACACAGGCATTGCTTTTCTGTTTCCACTGTGCGTTAATGACAGAGCCGGGGAGTGAGGGTGGTATAAGGAAGATGACAAGACGCGTATGTTGAGTGTCTGATCCTTGCCAGGTGCTGCACCATCCCTGGGGCAGAAACCCACCAGACTCGAGCACTTAGCACTGCCCAAGGCTGGGGGTTGGGGGGACCCAGAGCTCTAGGCCTCTCAGAGGTTCCAGTCTGTTCCCAAGGAGTCGAGTGGATTCTGACCCATGGCCATCCCAAAGGTTCCACATAGAGCCTCTCCACAGGGTTTTCCTGGCTGGGATCTTTGTGGAAGCAGGTCGCCAGGCCTTTCTTCCTAGGCACCCCCCCCGGGGGGGGGGCGGTGTCCAAGCTACCAACTTTAGGTTTGGTGCTGGTTAGGTGCGGTCCAGCCGGTTCTGACTCATAGAGACCCCACGGGCAACAGAAGGAAACACTGCCCGGCTCCTGCTCCATGCTCACAATGTAGGTTAGCTGATTGCAAATTAATTGTAAGCCCACTGCACCAGCTGAGCTCCTGGACTAAACCCTCTGCCCAGCAGTTCAGACTGACCCTATACAGGGTTGGGGAGACGGAATCTCTATGGGAGCAGCAGCCTCATCTTACTCCCTGAGGAGCAGGTGGTAGGTGAGAACTATTAGCCTTGTGGTTAGCGGTCCAATGCCTAGCCCAGCGTCACCTGGGCTCCTTGGACTCATGGACAGGAAGGGACTTCAGGCAGTGTTGAGCTGCTCAGGAGATTGCACGCAGCTCCTTCCTCCTTTAAGCGCTCCTGTGTATTCCCGCGCTTTCCCCTCTCCTTAGCCACGCCCAGCGTTCCCACGGCCAAGGGGCGTCGCCCGTCTACGGAAGCACGGGCCGCGCTAGTGACCGGCCTGCCCTCCTCTGCCCCTTCTGGCTGCACTGAGAACAACAAAACACTCGCTGCCACGGAGTGAACGCCAACGCTGTGGCCTTACAGAGCAGGGAACACTAGTTCCCGCGGGTTTCCAAGACTGAATCTTCGTAGGAGCAGAAAGCCTCATCTCTCTCCTGGGAGTCTGGTGGGCTCGGACTGTTTTAGCAGCCCGGCCGTAGCCCACCACGCCGCCTGGACAACCTAAAGCTCCGGCTGATTCCCGACAGGGGACCGCCCAGAAAAAGGTTTATAGAAAGTGCTCCGGGGGCGGCATTGGGGTGAATGTTCTGAAGCAGGTGGGCTGAGCCTTGAAGGGCCCCTAAGATTACATGACCTCCACCGAGCAAGATGGTCTCATGAGGAGGGAACTGGGAGGCGCTGGCAGGGAGGGAAACCCCACGTTTCCCGGCAGCCCTTGGTGTGGAGAAACCCCACGTTTCCCTGCAGCCACCTCGGAGATGAGTTGCTGAGGCCCCAGAAAACCTGACATGCCAGCCAAGCCAGGTCGCCGCACCTTGACGCTGTGCTGCTGGAGGCTTTGAACGCTGAGCAAAGCAGCCGGGGGAGCCCGAGTGCTGAATGAACGGAGGGTGCCTGACCCTTGGCAGCACCCTGGGGGGTGTGGCGTTTTCCCAGGCGACCCCTGTCACTCCTGGCCTTGGGGCGGGGCCCGCCGCCCTCGCCCCGCCCGCGCACTCTGGCCGCC